CCCGTCCATCCATGTCTACATATATATTCATATTTACCTACCATTATATTCATATCTATCCATCCATCCATCCATCCATCCATCCATCCATCCATTTATCCATCCATCCATCAATCCATATATCCATTTCTACCTATATATTCATATCTACTTACCATTATATTCATATCTATCTATCCATCCATCCATCCATCCATCCACCCGTCCATCCATGTCTACATATATATTCATATTTACCTACCATTATATTCATATCTATCCATCCATCCATCCATCCATCCATCCATCCATCCATCCATCCATATCTACCTATATATTCACATCTATCGTTAAATTCATATCTATTTATCCATCCATCCATCCATCCATCCATCCATCCATATCTACCTATATATTCATATCTATCTACCGTTACATTCCTGTCTGTCTGTCTATCGATCCTTATTTCAGCTTATCTATCTCTATTTCTATCTCTCTCTCCGATCAATCTATCGGAGAGGAATAGACCAGCACCTGTCCTTTTAACTACACACCATACCAGATTCTTCCCAAACCTCCAGGTTTCTCTGCTGGCTTGAACTGGGATTGCTCTGGGTTCCAAACCAATCTCTCTTGCAGGTGAGCTCCGATCCCTCCATGTATATTGAAGTGGAAAACGAGATCACGACCGTGGGAGGAGCCAAACTTAGCCGACTGAAGTGCAGCCGAGAAGGGAAAGAGTGGGAAACGGTGCTCACTAGCCGAATTCTCTCTGCGGCCGGAAGCTGGTAAGCATACGGTTCTGAGGAGGTGCACAATAAAGAGAGAATGCTTGGGTGCTCAGTCTAAAAACATGGTGCTTTGGATTAAAAAGTGATGCTTCCCTATGTAGTGCCCCTGTACTGGGCTGAAATTCCCTGAATGTCCAACCAAACAGACTCTTAATATTGTGGGTCAACTATCTGCATTTTTTAAGGGATGTGGTGGCTTAGTGGCGAAGACGCTGAGCTTATCGATCAGAAAGGTCGGCAGTTCAGCGGTTCGAATCCCTAGCGCAGCGTAACGGAGTGAGCTCCTGTGACTTATCCCAGCTTCTGCCAATCTAGCAGTTCGAAAGCACGTTAAAAATGCAAGTAGAAAAATAGGAACCACCTTTGGTAGGAAGGGAACAGTATTCCATGCGCCGTCGGTGTTTAGTCATGCCAGCCACATGACCATGGAGACGTCTTTGGACAGCGCTGGCTCTTCGGCTGTGAAACAGAGATGAGCACCGCCCCCTAGAGTCAGAAATGACTAGCACATATGTGTGAGGGGAACCTTTAACTTTACCTAAGATGGTGAACATACCTAATGTTCCTTCCTTCTATTTCTCTCACAACAACAACCCTGCAAGGCGGGCTCGGCTGGTGGGAGAGGGACCGGCCAAGGTCACATAGCCAGCTTTCATGTGGGATTAGAACTCCCAGTCTCCTAATGATTGGCCAAAAGTTCCCCAGCCGACTTCCACGGCTAAGGCGGGATTAGAACTCCCAGTCTCCTAATGATTGGCCAAAAGTTCCCCAGCCGACTTCCATGGCTAAGGCGGGATTAGAACTCCCAGTCTCCTAATGATTGGCTGAAAGTCCTTCAGTTGGCTTTTACGCCTAAAGTGGAATTAGAACTCACTGGCCTTTCCCTCTTTCCAAGCCGGATGCTTTCGCCACTAGTCCCATGTACTAAAATGTCTATTTCTCTTCTGCTTTTCTCCTCCAGCGAAGTGGTGAGCGTGGCCTGTGAAAAGCGGACCCTCTCTGTGTTTTCGGCGTGTGGCCGTCGCCTCCTCCCTCCCATCGTCCTCCATTCCCCCATCTCCACGTTGCACTGTACAGGGTTTTACGTCATGGCTCTCACAACGGCGGCAACCCTCTCCGTCTGGTAAGCCCCGGACAGCTCCCTCCCTCCCTCCAGGTCGCATTTCTACGTCTTCCTTTGCAAAGACGCGTCACGTGGAACTGGAATGACCCTTTTTGTCGTCCGTTCCCCCCTTCACGACATTTCCCCCTTTTAGGAACGTGCGGAAGCAGTCGGTGGTGGTGAAAGACGAGTCCCTGCAAACCATTTTAGCAGGTAACGATGCTCAAATCCACTTAGGGCTGTGATAGCCCTCTCTGCGGGCATGCCAGCCGTTGCCCCTGCCCAGCTCCACCATGCGTGCCTCCCACCGGCCAGCTGGTCTTCGGGTCTCTGTCGTGCATGCACGGGGGAGTGGGGCGCATGTGGGAGGCAGGCGCATGCGGAGAACACACGCGTGCATGCATGGGGGTGCTTGCATTGCATTTTGGGGGTTTGCAACCTGTTTGGGGCCTGGAAAGCCTCCTGCACCAAACTGGAAGCCAAAAATGAGCGAGGGTGG